AAAAAAAAAAAAAAAAGAATCTCCATAGGGAAAACATTTTCCTAAAGCTAAAGCTTGACAGGAAGAGCTGTGTTTGCGCCTAAGAAAGCCAAGTGAGGGTGAAGAGTACACAGTTCATGTCAGCTGTCAGTCCTCCGCCTGCGGTACTCGCGGTGCTCCCGGTGCTGTGTGAGAGATGGTCATATCCATAGGCCACCTAACAGCAAGCAGACTGGACCATGACAGACACACTGCCCTCCATAGGACCATCAGGACTGGCTCTCGGCCCAGGGAGAATGTGGGAGGGTATAGTGACTAGATTTCAAAAGGCAAAGGAGTCAAAGACCAAGTTTTCTACCTCGATTTTACAAAAGATAATAGAGACACCATCCCCAGCAATAGCAAACACCTTTGCATGATTATGTGTCAAGTGCATTTGTTCATTTTACCTTAATAACAATCCTGTGGAGGAGGAATTATTGTTTACATTTTACAAACAAGGAAACTGATGTTCAGTTTACCTGTTTGATCTCAGAACTAGGTGCCTCTTTCCCACTATATGCCCTATTTATTCAACCCAATAATTCATGTCTTTTTAAGCTTATTTATTTTGAGAGAGAGAGAGAGAGAGAGGGAGAGAGAATCCCAAGCAGGCTCTGTGCAGCCATGGCAGAACCTGACTTGGGGCTCGATCTCAGGAACCAACCACGAGATCATGACCTGAGCCAAGAGGGTTGGATGCTTAGCCCAATAATACTTAATTGGGGTTTCCATAAAGACAGGGAACATAACATGACATTCTGGCCAGGAGGATGTGGTGCAGGAATGTAATGCTTTGATGACATAATTTAATCTGGGAGTAGAAGCTGAGACCTGGATGATCAATGGGTAACTTAGCTGCCCTGTCATGTCCATTTCTAGATGATTTATTTGAGCTTTTTGGCTGATCCTAGGCCACAGTCAACTCACAAATGATTCTCTGTAATTTGCCCACTTTATAAACAGATCATTGCATACCGCCTCCCTCCATGTCTCTACTTTCCAGCCCTCTCATCACCACGCTCCCCTCCCCCCAATTCCCGTCATTTGAAACACAAATCAGGATGTGCCGTGCTCCTGACATCTCCTGCCATTGCACATGCTTTATCCTTCAACACTTCTCAGATCCCTCTCCACCCGGAAGCCTTCCCTGAGTTCCCCTCTCTCCCTATCCCCACCCCATGTGGAGAAGGCACCTCCCCTTTGTTCTCCCATAAAGCCCTGTACATACCTGACTTTTAGAGCTACGTTTTCATGGTGAATTTACTTGCTGGTCTGTGAGCAACTAATGCATCTTTATATCCCCAGAGCCTTGCAAGGTGCCTAGGGTGTAGGAAGTGCCCAGCAGTGTTTATTGAACAGACATAATGAGCAGCTACTGTGTGTCACACACTTCTGGGCACTGGATATAGAGAGATGGGTAGAACACAGACCCTTCCCTTGAGGCACTCAGAGTCTGGCACGTGAAGTCATGATTAGAGCCCAACATTGTAAGATCTATACTATCTATAATAGGGGACTTAGGGAGCACAAAAGAGGAAGAAAATAGCTTAGTTTGGAGAGTGACGGAAGTCTTCTAAAAGTGGTCACTTATAAGCTGAACCTTAAAACAATGAAAAGATTTTTGCCTGAGGAGTATCCCAGGGACAGGGGAAAAACGCACAAAAGCATAAGAGATTCAGTGTTTGGAAAAGTGCAAGAAGTACTGATATCCTTTGCCATAATTTGGAGCAAAAAACATGTTCTAGATTTCAATATGAAAGACATTAAGTTGTCGCGCTATTGTAGATGTTAAGGCTTTAGTGTTGTGTTTTATTTTTAATCAGTCAAATGCATTTTATCACAAGGCAGTAAAGATGTTAGTCACCTTAGATGAAATAAATAATAACTTATTTATAGTTTCTGGTCTACTTCCTTCCCAAAATGGTTTGCTTTGACTTGTAATAACAGACACATCCACAATAAGACTTGTTCATATAGAAACAAGCAAAAATTACAAAGGGAATAATATCGCTTACTAAGTTCTTTCTCCTTCATTAAATCACTTGGTGTTCGGGATAATCCTCTGAGGATGGGCCACAGCTTCTATCTGGCTCAGAGACCAGCATGTAGGAGTGTTTCTGTAAATGCTTGTGGGTTCAGTAGACCCATGGAGGTTTTCTTCATTTTCCAATTGATGCCACATATATTTCCTCATGCTCTGGTTTCTTCAGGCTTCCCTCATGCTTGTCAGTGGGAATAATCATCTCTGCTTTGCTGTCCTTCAGAGCCATTGTCTGTGTGAGCTTTTTCATCCAAACTACTTTCAGATGCTCTTGCCCTTTGAAAATTTTCCTCCCTTTTTTAAATGACTCCATGCGTAAAACTTAGAAAACAGAAATTCTCCCCCATGATACTATAACAAAGGCTATTCATGGTTAATTATTTTTTTATTAAAAAAATATTTTGACATCACTTCAGACTTTCAGAAAAGTTTTCAAGAATGGGACAAAGAATTCCTGAACACTCCTCACCTGTATTCCCCAGTTCCTAACATCTTACTACATTTGTTTCTTCTCTCTCACCTCTCTCCTCTCCCTCTCCATCTCTCTCTCTTTTCTGAATATGTTTAAGAAAAAGTTGCAGGCATTGTGCACCATTATATAAGCCAAAACACCTCAGTGTATATTTTCTAAAAACAAGAAATTCTTTTACATAACCATACTATTATTTTTTTTATTTCCATGTGTGCCCTTCTATGCTTTTTTCTATGCATACATTTATGTACTTATATTTAAATTAAGTAACGCATTATTTATATATACTTATAATGGCTTGCTCTTTTGGAGGAGTTAGCAATAGACTGTATATAATCTCATGCCAGTAAATATTCTACAGCATGATTCCTCAGCAGGCTCTGACTTTAGACACGATGGTTTCTGGGTGGCCCATTTTACCAGGTCACTCTGCTTCAGAGAAGGAACCATTCTTGTGTTCTTGCATGTCTAGTCACATATCAGTGGAAGCCACTGTATAAATGAGTAAAGAGGCAGGGTCCTGGAAAGCCTTGAATGCAAATTTGATCTTTATTCTGTAGCCAGTAGAGATCCAATGAAAGCTTTATAGCAAGGGAGAAAGCCAACAAGAGCTGGGTTTTCTGGAGATTATTTGCCAGTGTGTGCAGGAAGGAATGAAGGGGGAAGCAATCGGAGCATGAGTCCATAGGTCCCTTCGGTAAAATGATCCCTAGTTTCAAGGGCAAATCTCCACCTAGGTGGAACAGAGCCTTCTCCAGCATAATGCATCCTTCTCTTTCATGTGTCTTTCAGAACTGGTTAAAGTCATATGGCTATCTGCTTCCCTATGACTCACGGGCACCCGCGCTGCACTCAGGGAAGGTCTTACAGTCAGCAGTCTCCACTATGCAGCAGTTTTATGGGATCCCAGTCACCGGTGTGTTGGATCAGACAACAATCGAGTAAGATTCGCGTAGGGCATTATGCCTTCGAACTTTCCAGACATACATTTGAGTTCACGTTTGTCGTGGCCCCACGTATGTACCATGCCCATCCTACCTTCCTATCTTTCACTCCTGCAGGATCATCCTGGGAGGGAACACCCCAAGGTGCCCCTTCCTATGTGAGCTGGGGAGGTACTCTGTCCGAAATTTGCTGTGTGATCTTGAACAAGTGTCTTATCCCTGCTGGACCTCAGTTTCCTTTTGAGCACAGTAAGAGGTTTGGTTGGAGATGGTCTTAAACCTCCTCTGACTCTAATAACTTTTGGCTTTATGAATCACCCCTCTGGCATTCCCTGAGATGTTCACATCTCACCTGATACAAAGAGCTCTTGAATGATCATGAGCTGGTAGCTCTTGTTCCACTTTTTCCATTTATCAAATATTTGCTAAATGCCTACGTGTGCCAGGCACTGGACAGGATCCTACGATCTCTCCCCTCCAGAGGCTCACCGCATCGTGAAAAGTACAATCATCTAGCTGCACCAGTCTGGAACTCGGGAGGAAACACTTGTTTTCAGGGAGATACTTAGGAAGTAATAACAAAATGAGCCAGACCATGGGGACGGTCACATTTACTCAGGGGGGAGCACGAAGAAGAGGAAGGGACGGGTGCCGAGAATGGAATCCTCATGATGCAAGCTGAAGAGGAGCGGCCAGAGCAGTGAGGAAGCCAGGGGCTATGTGTCACGGTAGAGAAGCGGGGATGGTGAGCGGCCGGCTGCTGCAGAGTGATCACTTAGGAGATCCAAAAGTGTCAGCCGAGTTTAGCAGCCAGGAAGCCCTTGCAGGGTCAGACTGCAGGGGGAGGAAGGGGAGATGATGAGTAGAGATGGCAAGTGTAGGCAAGACTTTCTAGAAGCCTATCAGTGAAGGACAAATAGAAGGTAGCTGGAGGTGGGTGAATTTTTGTTTGTTTGAAGATCAGAGAGACTTAAGTATCCTCACATTTGTTTAGGAAATAGCCATAAAAGTCATTAAAGCAGCTGAAGGAAAGTCATTGCCCATTGCTGCAGTGAGGGCATGGCAGAGAGCCCGGGGGAGCTTCCCAAGGAGGCGGTGAGCGGTGGGGTCCTGAGCAGAGGTGGAAGCAGGGAGCAGGGCCCCATGAGGGGGTGTGGGGAGGTGGTGGGTGGGGAACAGAGAATCCAGCTGATTGTGGATCCAGGATCAATCCTCCCCCCGCCCCCGGAGGGTGAGTCACTCACTCCTTGAGAGATTCATCTCTCTGGGTCCCAGCTTGTTCAGTTACAAAGGGGGTGTTGGATTACGACTCTCAGATTCCAGATCCCATTATTCTAAGCTGTTAACATTTGGTGAGTCTGGGGTTTTACGATCCTATAATTCTGTAGGAACATTTTCTATTCCTCGGATTCTCTGACTGCAAGATTGTGAACTTCTGAGACAATATGTTTGACCGCTGCTATGGTATCGTGAGGACAGTGGAAGCCTTGGCCCTGTGGCCTCGTGTGGCCTCATGAGTGAGTTGGTTGAAGACAGCCCGGCCGCCTTTCAAAGTGGAGGTTATTTTGAGGGCTTTGTGCAGGCTTCATGGCAGTGCATCCTGGGGCAGGAGCACTGATGTCTCTGCTGAGGCACCACCTGGCCTTGGGTTTTACTCTGTTCCAGAAAGCCCCAGGCCTGTTGGACAGGGTTCAGAGAGCGGCAGGTGGACGGAATGATCTGAGGGAGGAGGATGGCATTTCCCACTTGCATTTCTGCCCCCACTTTTTTGTAGGAAGACGGGGGGAACGCTGTTTGGGAGGCACGAGAAGGGAGAATGCACTCATGCTTAATCCCAGACCTGAGTGGGGAGGCTGTTTCGGGGTAGAGTTTAGAGACCTTAGTTTCCCTTCCAGCTCTGTGACCTTGGGCAGTCACTGCCTTTCTCTGGGCCTCTTTCCTCCCTGGGGGCCCTTCCAGGTCTAGCTCAGCCTTGCTGTAGCAGAGGTAGCTCCCCATTCTTCCCAAGGACTGTCAGTGAAAGAAAGCGAGATTAGCGTTTTAAAGTACTAATTTTTGAGTGCCTACCTTGGGAAATGTTACACATTGTTCACCACTCATTCATTCCTTCATTCAACATATCCTGTAACCCAAACCTGTGCTAAGCACAGGCTTTTGTTTGTTTGCTTTTGTTTGTTAAATTGCATTCATTACTAGTTCATTTATTCATTCAACTAAGTTCCAGTCCTGCCTCAAAGCTGTATTTTGCAAGTTACTTGATTTATCTGTGTGTCTTTTCCCTCATCTGCAAAATTGAGGATAAATAGTTTCTGGCTACCTCACAGAGTTGTTTCAAGAATCAAAACATTTCTTTAAAAGAACACAGACACTGTAACAATTAGAAATGTTTATACAAATACATGATATTGTTATTATTATGTCTTTTATTATTCATTTCTGAGTACAGGCACTCTAGGCAATATGAAGCATGCAAAGATGAGTAAGACCTGGTTAAGTCCCTCAGGGGGCTTTTAAAAAACTATTTGGTTAAAATAGTCTCTATATTGCCAATGACAACTGCTTTCAACAACTGTACATGAGGTAGACTGTCTTCCCCTCCAGCAATCTCAAGCTAGAGTTGGTCATTGGGCCAGCACAGGGAAATAAAATGCAAGGATGACCTGGGCTCCAATCAGCCATGATCTTTTAAAATATCCTACCCTGGCCTTTTTTTTTTTTTTTTTTTAACGATGTCCCAGACTCACCAATCCCGAAATGTAACTTAACCTGACAACAAACAGTTATCAGGATTTACTTAGTTCCAGGCACTGGACTAGCTTCTGGGGACGCAATGATGAATATAATAACATTCCAGTCCTCAGAGAATTTGCCATTTATTAAAGATAATGGACTAATAGATTTAAAATCACAATACAGCACTCTAAATGCTGCAGAGAATTCTAAGTCTTACAGTCCTACAATCCTACACATTTTGAACATCTATAGCAAAAAGGAATTTGCTGTCTTACAAGCTATGCCATTCTACTTTTGGGTAGTTCTCATTCATTCATTCATTCATTCAACATTATTGAACATCTTCTGTGTCAGCCACTGTACAGGCAAGGTTCCTATCCTCATGGAACTTAGAATCTGCTAAGAGAGACAAAGACTAAACAAAAAAGTGAATATATTATATCATTTCAGGCAATGACTAATGCTATGAAGAAAAATGAAGCAGGATAAGCAGATAGCGGCAGGATGGGAGGAGGAAGCTATTTCAGATAGGGTGGGCAGGGAAGTCCTCTCTAAAGGGGAACGTTTGAGCAGAGACCTTAATGAAAAGCAAACCATGTGAAGAAGAAGAAGAGCATCGCAAAGCAGAGGGAACAAAGGCCCTGAAGTGGGAATAATCTTAGCACGTGCAAGACACAGCAAGAAGGCCATTGTGGCTGGAGCAGAGTCTATGAGGGGGGAAGGAGGGTGAAGATGTTGTCTGACGTGTAGACAGGAGCTTGATTGTGTGCGTCCCTGTGGACCAATGTGAGGAGTTTGGATCTTATTCTAGGTGTTTGGGGGAAATCACTGAAGGGTTTTAAACCAGGGAGTGATGTGATCTAATTCCATTTACAGAGTATTTCCACATATACCCCCTCCTTTGAGGCTTTCTATAACCTAAGAACAGTGAGAGCTGTGATTCTCGTGTGGCAGAGGAGGAAACTGAAGTTCACAATGATCGTTTGCTTGGGCTCCTACAATTAGTGGTGGAGCTAGAACCATCAAGCCTGTGTCTCTGACTCCCAGGCTCTAATTCAGCCCTGTGTCGGCATAATCAATTGTAAATGAATGAATTAAGTAATCAGTCTATTGTGTTCCTGTGGGGGAACCCCTCAGAGCCAGGGCCCCAGAGTCTAGCATCAGGATGCACACTGCTATTTAGACTGCAATGCCTTCCTAGAGTGTCCAGTGACCACAACACGTGTGTGTGTGTGTGTGTGTGTGTGTGTGTGTGTGTGTGTGTCCTCTCTCTGCCCAGGTGGATGAAGAAACCCCGCTGTGGTGTCCCTGATCACCCCCACTTAAGCCGTAGGCGGAGGAACAAGCGCTATGCCCTGACTGGACAGAAGTGGAGACAAAAACACATCACCTACAGGTGCTTTGACTACCTCTCCTCTTCCGTGGCTTTGGCTCCACCCACACTCAGTTTTGTCCTGGCCTGAGTTTCAGAGACTCACGCTGTAGGTGGGTCTGTGATCAGGGTGAGAGCCAAGTATGCGGGCATCAGGACTAGGTGCTGAAAGGCTATCACTTTGTCCCCCTTGTGGCTTCCAGAGGATGCCGTATCTCGAACTTCAGGTTTATTTGGTCCTTTGGGGGCTCATTAGGTGTGTCCTGTTTAGAGTCCTACAGTTTGAGAAAGTGGGATAGGGATTGTTCAGCAACTCTCAGCTGTGATAAAGAGCCATGGCTGAACTCACTCTCCCTATCACTGCTTGCCAAACCCCATTTCCTTTTATCTGGATCCCTTCTCCACTTAGCCTGACAGACTTCACCCAAACTTCCCAGCAGAGCTCCAGTTGTTAGCAGACTCACTCCTGAAGTGTCTGAGGAAACCAAGGGCTGAAGAGGATCAGCCTCCAAGTCAGACCAGTGACCAAGGACAGGGATGGCGGAGCCCATCACAGCAGACTCAGACAGCAGAATTCAGAGTAGGGCTGCAGGAAAGGCCAGGCATAGGGCAGGCTCAGCTGGGCTCTGGCTGGCACCTCTCAAGGCTCTGATTCCATCTCAGTGGATGCCTTGGGTTCAGGGGTAGGATCTAAGACAGAGATCCTGAAAGCTGAAGAATGAAGGGCTCTCCTGCTGATGAGCTATAGAAACCAGAACAGGCTTTTTCTAGAATTCTGACAAAAGAAGGAAACCCACGAAGAATCTGGGTTAGAAACTGGATAGATCTTAAGGTCTCCTGAAGTGGTAAAATGAATCAAGAGAAAGAACTGGCTTCTAACCTTAACTTCTATTACTCAACCTCTCTGGCCTCAGTTTTCTTACCTATAGAATGGGTGAATAATCCTTGCCCAGGTGTTCAGGAGGCAGAGCACCCAGGAGTAATGACGTTCTGCTATGGAGAACCATTCAATATGGCTGCTGTAACCTTCAATAGCTAAATCTATAACTGATGAAATCAGATACCACTCTATACCAATTTCCTAGATAGACAAGCACTAGACATGTAGTTGGTGCCAAACATTTTTAAAAGGGATGTTTCACTTAAACCCTCCACTGCTTCAGTATTTCTATACCTTTTTAAATGTTCTATACATATGCTTTGTGTATTGGGAGAAAAACTTAAAACTTAGAAAATGCTATCCACGAACTTAATTTTTTTTTTCTGCACGCTCAAGTGGAATTCTGTTTTCAACACAAACTTTGTGAGAGTGCAGATACAAAACATTGATCACAGCAAAGCTGCTCTGACTGAGGCAGGGGTGGGGACCCAGAGCCTTGCCCACCTAGCCTCTTCTTCAACCCTTGGGATACCTCAGCAGAATTCTAGGGTTCAAAATGTGAAGGTTACTGGTCCCTGTAGTCTCTGCTGTCCCTTTTAGCTCTGCAAGCCTCTGACTCTGACTGTTCCTCCCTAATGATCCTTTCTTCTCTTACCAGCATTCACAACTACACCCCAAAGGTGGGGGAGCTAGACACACGGAAAGCAATTCGCCAGGCTTTTGATGTGTGGCAGAAAGTGACCCCGCTGACCTTTGAAGAGGTGCCATATCATGAGATCAAAAGTGACCGGAAGGAGGCAGACATCATGATCTTCTTTGCTTCTGGTTTCCATGGCGACAGCTCCCCATTTGATGGAGAAGGGGGATTCCTGGCCCATGCCTACTTTCCTGGCCCAGGGATTGGAGGAGACACTCACTTTGATTCAGATGAGCCGTGGACACTAGGAAATGCCAACCATGATGGTAAGGCCATGAGGGGGACAAGGGGTCAGTCCTGGATTTTCAGGGAAAGAAGTCTTGAGGAAGAACTTGGGATGCCATAGATAAGCTTCCTGCCCTGTAACTTCATGTCCAAGAACTAAGAACCTAGGAGGGTGGGAACTGAGGTCTCTGGTCCCTCAGGACCAGGGCCCTGGAGTTGAGCCAGATCACTTAGTAAATGGTCTAAGGGGGCTGAGTCAAGAGGGAGGGGTCAGGCCATGAATAAGAAGATAAAGTAATGGATCAGAGGCTTGAGAAAAAGGTAAAAAAAGCCATTAAAGCTGAAAGTGGGGTGTGAAAGTGGTAGGCTCTGGCCTGATAGTGGCTTCAAAGGCCATCTTAAGAGATACCATTACTCTCTTTCCCTTATATCAACCTCATGGGTGAATAACAGGCCCCATAGTTACTCTAACATCTTTGGTTAACTTGCTCCTCACCACTGTGACTCAATGAGTATTATATGGAACCAGAGTCAGTATTGTACAGCAATAGTAACAATACTCTTCAGGTTGCAAAAGCATTCTCCATCAGTGTTCACTCCTAAAGCACTTGCTTAGTAAGCAGGCAAGTATACATCATTATGCCCATTTTTACATTAAAAAAATTTTTTTTAATGTTTATTTATTTTTGAGAGAGAGAGTACAAGTGGGGGAGGGACAGGAAGAGGGGGACAGAGAATCTGAAGCAGGGTCAGTACTGACAGCAGAGAGCCCAATGCAGGGCTTGAACCCACAAACCGTGAGATCATGACCTGAGCCAAAGTCAGACGCTCAACCAACTGAGCCACCCAGATGCCCCTCATTATGTCCATTTTTAAGATGAAAGGCTTCGGGCTGGAATGGCAAAGCTGGAAGTGGGTAGTTAGGGCTCAAACCACTGCTCAACAACCTGGCTGTGTGACTCCGGGCAAATGATTCACCCTCAATCTCCTCATATAAAAAATGAGGGACTGAGGGTGCCTGGGTGGCTCAGTCGGTTAAGCATCCAACTCTTGATTTTGGCTCAGGTCATGATCTCGCGGTTCGTGGGTTCAAGCCCCACACTGGGCTCTGCACTCACTGAGCCGAACCTGCTTGGGATTCTCTGTCTCCCTCTCTCTCTGCCCCTTCCTCCACTGGCTCTCTATTTCTCTCCCCCTAAAAATTAATAAACATTAAAAAAAATAACATCTCTCTTTAAAAATAGCTAGCTAGCTAGCTAGCTAGATAGATAAAAATGAGGGACTGGACTAGGTGATCTCTAAGCTCCCTTCCAACCCTAGTGTAACATGATACACAGCCTGGTGGCCTGGGGGGTTGGGGGGTGGGGGGGGTGGCTCCAAACATTTTAAAAAAGACATGCTCTCTGCCCTCTAGTAGTCCACAGCTAAGTGGGGGCGGGGGGGACAGTGTGTATATAAGTAACCCTGTCACAAAGCAGACTGTACTGAAGCTTGTAGCAAAAATACCAAGAAAATGCGGAGATGAGTGTGGAGGAGAAAGGGATAGAGGATTCTGGCTTTTAGGGAGAACAGATAATGATTAGCATGTTGATATTCTAAGATCCATGTCAAGTGCTTTCCACATACTATGTAGTATGTATTTATTATTATGACCTCCATTTTATAGATAGGTAAACTGAGGTATGTAGAAACATTAAGTAGTCTATCTACAGTCCCATAGTTGGTGAAAGTAAGGCTTTGAACCTGGGTATTATGACTCCGGAACACATACTCTTTTTTTTTTTTTTTTGAGTAACCTATGCACCCAACGTGGGGCTCAGACTCCCAATCCTGAGATCAAGAGTTGCATGCTCTACTGACTGAACTAGCCAGACACCCCTGAAGCACATACTCTCAGCTACCAAGCTAAACTTTCATGGTTCTCAAATTGCAGGGCACACCAGAATCACCCAGAAATCTTTTTAGGGGCTCCTGGGTGGCTCAGTTGGTTAAGTGTCCGACTTCTGCTCAGGTCATGATCTCACGGTTTATGAGTTCAAGCTCCACATCAGGCTCTGTGCTGAGAGCTCAGAGCCTGGAGCCTGCTTCAGATTCTGTGTCCCTCTCTCTCTCTGCTCCTCCCCTGCTTGCTCTCTCTCTCTCTCTCAAAAATGAATAAACATTTTTAAAAATTAAAAAAAATATATGTTTAAAAAAGCACATTCCAGGTTAGGGGCCAGGTTCTAGGCCCTTAACCTCTTGCTATTCTGATTCTCTGATTCTGGGGTCAGGCCTGGGAATCTGCACTTGGTGTAATAAATTCTCCAGGCACTTCTGATATACGTGTTCCATCCCCCTTGAGAAACACTGTCTTTATCCTCAGAGTTTCCTTAACTTGCCTGATCATAAGAATCACCTGGGTTTCTTGTCATATATATAGATTCCCAAGCCTACCCCTGGACACTCTGATTCTTAAGCGTAGGCAAGTTTGGGAAACACAGGGCATTCTTTTACTTAGGCTATGCTTCAGGCTGAGAGCACACTCGTATAGGCCTGTCTCCTCAGAGGCTGAGTCTGGTGTCTTTGGATGAGGACAGCCTCCTTGAGAACATTTCATATCATTGCATGCATGAATCAAGGATCGGCAACCCTTGGCTCATCTGTGAAAGGATGGTTCAGGAAGTGTTTTGGCCAAGGCTCAGCCTCTGCAAAGATATGAAACTGTCGCATTTCTCTTTGTCCCTTGCCCTCTTCAAATGTTGGTCCTCTTTCCTATCCAGCTCCATTTCCTCTGCCCTGGTATCCCTTTCCTTATGTCCTGAATGTGTTTCCTGGCTTTCTGAACACCTCTTCTTTCTCCCATGCTTATTCTTGAATCGGTGTCAACGAATGGCTGGCTGTGCTGATAAAGTGTGAGGAAAAGAAACTAACATTTTTGAGCCCTGTTACGTGCCAGGCAGGGACTGTTAGCTGGCAAGATTTTACTTACAGCCCTGATAGAGACAAATGAATTCTTAAAGGAATCTTGGCCAGAGGAGGCACTGGGAAGATACTCTTAACAACCCGGCCCTCCCCTTCCCAGCTCTGAGGTTTGTTCTGCCCGAAAGCACTCCTTGCTGTTGGAGACCTTGGGCCCAGTCTCAAAGTCCCAAGAACTTCTGGGAGTGCATGTGGGAAGGAGCTGGGACCTGTGGATAGGCACAATCCCAGCATCCTCCCAGTCCTACCCCATCCCAATGAACATCTGCCAATTCTGATAGAGAGTCCAAGACGGCCAATGTCTTCTTTGGACAAGAGTTGGGACTTTTCTATGCTCTGGAAAACTGAGCATGAACTGTTCAGATGTAGTTCCTAACTATGGCAATAGACCCCTGATGCAGCAGGTTGCCCTAGGACGGTTTCTGGAAGGAGATGAAAGGAACCAAGATTTATGGAGCACCTGTATATTATCTCGTTTAATTTTCACATAAATTCACTGAGGGAGTGGATGGAGCCTCCTGGGAACTTTGTGTTTATTGGCTCTCTTCTCTCTTCTAAATTTCCATTATGGAAAACTTCAAACTCACAAAAGAAGAGAAAATGATAATATGAACCCCCAGGCACCCATCCCCTTGCTTCAGCAATTACCAACATGATGTCACTGCTATTTCATCTACTCTCCCCCTGCCACTTGTATTTTTTGGCTGATGTATTTTAAAGAAAATCCTTGGCACAATATCATTTCATCTGTAAATACTTTAGGACATAGCCCTAACAGATTATTTTTTTTCTTCCAAATTTTTATCTAAATTCTAGTTAGTTAACATACAGTGTAATATTGGTTTCAGAAGTAGAATTTAGTGATTCATCACTTACACACAACACCCAGTGCTCATCACAACAAGTGCCCTCCATAATGCCCATCACCTATCTAGCCCCTCTCCCTCCATTAACCCTTAGTCTGTTCTCTATCATTAAGAGTCTCTTATGGTTTGCTTCTCTCTCTCTCTCTTCCCCTTCCCATATGTTCATCTGTTTTGTTTCCTAAATTATACCTATGAGTGAAAACATGGTATTTGTCTTTCTCTTACTGACTTATTTCGCTTAGCATAATATACTCTAGCTCCATCCACATTGTTGCAAATGGCAAGCTTTCATTCTCTTTGATGGCTGAGTAATATTCCACTGCATGTGTGTGTGTGTGTGTGTGTATATATGTATATATACATATGTATATGTATATATACATATATATGTATATATATATACACACACACATACACACATATATACATATATACATACATATACACACATATATATACACATACATACACATATATATGTATATACATACATATATACACATACATACATACATATATGTACATACACACACACATATACACACTACATCTTCTTTATCCATTCTTCAGTGGGTGGATACTTAGGCTCTTTCCATAGTTTGGCTATTATTGATAGTGCTGCTATAAACATCAGGGTGCATGTACTCCTTCAAATCTTCTCATAGATTATTTTCTTTCAAAAAATTCTTTTTATATATTTTAGAGAGACAGAGAGCACAAGCAGGGGAGGGGGCAGAAAGAGAGAGAGAGAGAGAGAGAGAGAGAGAGAGAGAGAATCTTAAGCAGGCTCCATGTTCAGTGAGGAGCCTGACACAGGGATTGATCCCACAACCCTGGGATCATGACCTAAGCCAAAATCAAGAGTTAGACACTCAGCCAACTGAGTCACCCAGGCACCCCAAATAGATTATTTTTAACACAACCACAAAACCATTATCAAACCCAACAAAATTAACAATAATTTCTTAAAATCCAATTCCTGTTTGTATTCATTTCCCAAAATCGCCTCAAAAATGTCCCTTCCAGCTGTTTGCTTGCATCAGGATCCAGACAATATCCACACATCCTGCATGGGTGACATGTTTCTTACGCTGTTTTCACTTACAATAGTCAGCTCGCTTCCCCACCCCCAACCCCGCCAATATTTGTTGAAAAAACTGTCACTTGTCCACAGTACACTCATTTGGCTTGATGAAATTCAGATTCACTTTTAACACGTCTCCCTTCCTCATATATCCTGAATATTGGTAATTAGTCCTATAGACCTGACTAAATTCACATTTTGGCAAGAGCTTCTGGAGTGGTTGGGTCCTCCCTTCCGCATCACGTTAGAAAGCACGTATGATATAGGCTGTCCCACTGTTAGTGATGCTGAGGGTGAGTGCTTGGCTCAGGTGTGTCAGCCTGAGCCAATCACTATAAAATTCACTTGAGGGAACTTAATTTAAAAAACAAAAAATGTTGCCTAAGTCCTAACCCAAAACTCCTGAATCAGAAGCTCCTCCACCTATGTGTTTAAAAGGCTCTCCTAGAGAACCACTGCATTATAAGGGTGTAAGGGTGATCCTGATTCTCCACATCATTGGAGTCTGTGTGAAGGGCAGTCTGGCCCACCATACCTTCCAGCTGGTTTCAGGGGCTGCTTCCAGGCACCTTCTGTCCTCATCTCTTTTCAAGGAGTCCAACAGTGATGTCTGAGTTCACTAAGCTCTGATGAGAAGGAAGCCCAGCCCTGAGAAAGGTGACAAGACAGGAAGCGTCATTGAGACCAGCCCTTCACAGAGTAGAGTTCTTCTGCAATCACTTCTGTGACTCTCCCCCGACCCTGGGAGCTAGACCAGGCAGGGATCATAATATCCCTTTAACAGATGAGGAATGTAAAGTTCCATGTGGTTATAAAAACTCACATAGTAAGTGGCAGAGCCAGGTATGTACCCAGGACTCTGAATTTTTAGTAATCGCCCCAGGTGGTTATGCTGCAGGTGGTCCAAGAACCACACCTGGAAAAATACTGAATGTTTGGCACTGTTCCATCCTGGCTGCACAAAGCTTGCCCTCGAGGAGCTCACACCCCTGGAGCGGAAGAGAGAGTGTGCTGGTGGCTGTAACGTATGGTGGAAAGTGATCAGTGCCATAAAGATGGTTCAGATAAACTGCTGGGAGGGTAGAGGAGGAATCACTCACTCCAGTGGGGGAAATCAAGGAAGTCTTTCTGGAAAATGTGGCACTGAGCTGAACTTTGAAGGAGTAAGGCTATTCTGGGGTAGAGGGGACAGCACTGGCAAAAGAATGGAGGCAAAAGGAAATGTTATAGCCTTTGGGGGGCTGGAGGGCTTGATGAGATGGGACTGATCAAGTATGGAGGTTCCACGGGAAGGAAATGAAGCAGAGATAGTTGAGTAAGAGTTTTGGGTACCTGCTAGGAGACCCCTGCTGGGACTTGAGCTCCCAGCCCACAGGAACACTCCCTATTGGGGATGCTGGTCCCCTCACATACCTCAATGTGACCCTGCTAATTAATAGTGATCTGTAGTTCTGTGCCAGGAGGCAGATGTGAGCACTTTGACTACCTTGCCCCATTAATTTCACCCCCATTCTTAGAATGCAGGTACCGTTATTCCCTGCATTTTACAGAAGAAGAGATTTAAAATGTCACACTGCTGCAACATGGCAGAGCTGGGATTCATGTCCTTCTGGCTCCCTCAGACCGCACTTCTGACTACTCCGCTTCCTTGTTTCTCACCCTCTTGGAGAGTGAAGACCCTAACAGCCACCTGCCTATTAAGCACTGGGATCTTCTCCATCCTTCTGCCTTCCTAGCATTCTGCCCTCTCTAGCTCCAGGGAGTTCTTCTGCCCTTGCCTGTCCTTCCATCTCCCCAGAGCAGCCCCCACTTAGCAGGTCTCTTGGGCTTCTGTGCAACAGGATGCCAGTTCCCCCAGTTCTTTTCTGCTTTTTGGTCCCTGGAATAAACCCACAGTCCCTTTTCCTTCAAGGGCTTACTCCTATTCTCTGCAGGGACCCAGGCACAGAGGCTACAGAGTAACAGACACAGGCTGAGGACAAAGGTTTAGAGTCTTGCCAAGTACTCAGAGCGCTGCTCCCTGGTTCCCAGTGGAGATCCCTGTGGATGCCCCCTGAGGAAGAGCCTGGTCAGCAGACGAGAGGCCCGAACAGCTTGTGAAGGTGGAAGAATAGGCCAGGAGGCAGAGCTAGGCAGGACCAGCCCCCAGGAAGCAGAGCTGCCTTCCGCTGGCTCTAGCAGCCGCCTTTGTTTGGGATAGAGCTGAGAGATGAGCTCACCCTTCCCCGGTGCCAGAGGAACCAGGACCCGAGGAAGGAACTGGGGGCGGCCTGGCCTCCTCCTGCCAGCTTGCCCTTCCCCAGCAGAAGGCCAGCCCCAGGCTCTTGGCCAACCTTGCACTGATCTTGCCCATCCCCATTTTGCTGAAGACACGGGTGGTGTCAGCAGAGCGGCTGGCATGCTTGCGTCGGGGTCTGCCCCATAAGGCTCTTCTCTCTTCCGAGACCGTAGCCAAAATGGCCAGAGACAATCCTCAGTCCCATCTGATTCTCATGGGTCCCTCGGTTGGGCTGGGCTGGGCAACTTTGCCAGTGACACCAGAGCCAAAGTAGGCACTAGGACTCCTGACCACCTCCTGGGTCCCTGGTAGCCTCCCCTGCACTCGGAACCGACAGGAATGAACTGTAACATGCCTTAGGGCAGGGCAATGAGAGGCAGAGCTCAAATGCCAAAGGTCAAGGCAAGCAAGAGTTTTCAAATGGACAGACAGGTCAGGACTATCAGTATGACAGCCTGCCCAACTCCCTGTCTCTTGTGTTTCTTTCCCAAAGCTGGGGTTACTTAATCCCCCCAAAGTCAGGCCTTGCTCTGTCCCAGGCCCAATCCAGAGGCTCAGAGGAGTTGGCTTAAGAAAATCTGGTAGCTGGAACCCCACTGGCCTTATGCTTCCTTTCTGGTCGATGGGCTTGTTCCAGGCACCAAGCTTCCATCTGATGTCTGGTAACAACAGCTCCTGTGCAGTGCCACACCCTTCACACATATTACCTCATCCAATCCTCACATAACCCTATGAAGGGGGTACGATCTCCCCGTTTTACAAATGAAGATATCGAAGATTAGAAGGTAGACCTTCTGGCCAAGTTCACAAAGCTGGAAACGAAGGAGGTCTATCTGGCTCAGGGGCCCACGCTCATGACCACTGTGCCATGTTGCTGCCTCAGCTTCGTGCTCGGGATCCCGTGTCCCACTTTCGGCACCTGGACTTTGTTGTTTTCACTCGCATTTGAGTCCCTGCCTTGATCTTGGCTGAGGTTCAGTTCTTTCAGAACTAAGGTCTTGCTGGACTGAGAGCCACCTCACGATCAGGGCCCTGCCTGCCCCTGGACCTCCTGACACTGACTACCAGCCTGCCACCCCCAGACCTCCCCTCTGCTCATCGTACTCCCTGCCCTGGCTTTGCCCTTTTCATCTCTCACCCAGACCCTTCTGCCTTCTTCCCAAAAGCGCACGGAAGCCCTGCTTCTGGTCTCTTTCCCCTCTCAGCCCTCCTCAGCGCGGAGCAGCCAGAGTGACTCATCGTGTCACCACCCCCATTCCTGCCCTAAACCCCCCACTGGCCAAGAAGCCAATCCAAATTCCTTTGCGTGGCATCACAGAACCCCACTTGCCAGCCTGGCTGACCTCATCTCTCTCTGCCCTCCCCTCCTGCTTTGTTCCAGAGCCAAGTGGAATGAGCCTGCTTGTCCCTGGATCTTGTTTTTAGCGTTCCCTCTGTCAGGAATGCCACCCCCACCCCTCCCTCTCCTACCCTCTGAATCCATTCTCCTGACTAACTTCTTATCTTTCAAGACTTGAGGTAAACTTCACCATTATGAAGCTTTCCCTACACATCTTCCTTCAAGTTTAAATCACTCCTCCCTTCTCAGAATCCTCACTCCACCCTTACAGACTTCTATTAAAGCACCTGGAACATTAATCTCACTTATTTTGTTTCTCTCTCCAAATCCCCCACTATACCAAGAGTTCTGAAAGGCAGGACTGTGTATGATTTCTCCAGCACAGGGTCTGGCACAAAGCCTATGCTCAGTGTTGGCTGAAGCAATGGGTTGACTGATACCTAAGCGGGTGCCCTGGGCACCTCCCACTCCCCTCTCCACAGGGAATGACCTCTTCCTGGTGGCTGTGCACGAGCTGGGCCATGCGCTAGGACTGGAGCACTCCAACGACCCCAGCGCCATCATGGCGCCCTTCTACCAGTACATGGAGACACACAACTTCAAACTGCCTCAGGATGATCTCCAGGGCATCCAGAAGATCTACGGTGTGTGGCAGGGGAGAGGGGGCTGCTGCTCCTTCTTAAGGGCTGGGCTGTGACTAGCTGCCTGAGTGGGTTGTTTTCTTAAGCAAGAAAAAAGGAGAGGCTATGCTGATATTTTGATAAGATATAAAAGGCCTGCTACCATGCCTCCCTCCCAGTTCTCTGTTCACACTGGTAATGCAAAGGTCTTGTTTTGGTCAAGTCAGTTGAGATGGGAGGACCAGTTTGCTTGAGCAAATGTATGTCAGCATAGCCCAGGCCGCCTCAGCCCCTGGGCTATGAAGCACAGGAGGAGGGCCCCTTCTGGAGGCCTTGATGACCTCAGAGAGCAGATGGCCCCAACCAGAACCCTGGAGGATGGGCGGGATCTCCACAAGTGAGGCAGTGGAGGACTGGAAAGGGGAGGTAGGGACCAAGGTGTTTTGAAAGTAGAATGGACAGGATTTGCTGATAGATCCAACATGGGGGTGAGGGTCAAGGACAACACCAAGATTTCTGGCTTTTCTAATTGTGGGGCAATAGGATTTACCAGTCTGTTGCTCAGAGAGCTGGGCTGGGATATTGATTTGGAATCTTAGGTGTCCAATCTATAGCCACTGGCCACATGTGACTATTGAAATTTGAATTTATATTAATTAGAATTAAATAAAATTAAAATTTCAGTTCCTCTGTCACACTAACAACTAGTCACGCATTTCAAGTGCTCAGCAGCCACAAATGGCTGGAGGCTACTGTATTGGACAGTGCTAATATAGAACATTTCTGTCATCACAGAACATCCTATTGGACAGCTCCAACATAGAGGGTCTTTAAAGCCATGAACCTGGGCACCTCCCCACTCCCCTCTCTACAGGGAATCAAGATCACTTAAGGTAGTGATCTGTGACTAGGGGATCATTGGAATTACCTTGGAATTTCCATTTTAAAAATGCTCTCATTGTCAGAGATTGGCTTCTCTTTGGTCTTGGGTGTCTTCTGAGCATCTTGAGTTTTAAAAGCTCTCCCAGTGACACTAATATGCAACCCAAGGGAGAAAACTGACATAGGGACAAAAATAGAGAGAACACCCAGGAGCACTCCAACCTTTAGGGTAGGGTGGGTGAGGAAAGGCTGCCAGCAAAGGAAGTGGAGAAGGAACAGCCCATAAAGTAGAAGGAAAACCAAGACAGAACAGGGGCCTGGAAAAGTGCTCCTATGATCTTGCTACTCAAAGTGTGGGCCTCAGACCAGGAACACTGGCATCACCTAACAGCCTGAAGAAATGCAGAATTGCAAGCCGCCCCCCCCCCACCCCCCGCCCAGACCCTCTGAGTCATAATCCCCATTTTATTAAGATCCCTGGATCTTGATATGCACATCAAAGTTTGAGTCAGTAACCCTGGGGTTTGGCAACATGAAGGTCATTGGAGATCTTGACAGAGCAGCTTCAGTAGGTGACAGGGCAGAGGCTGTCCTGGAGTGGGATAAGGAACGAAGGGGAGAAAGTGAGGCTGGCATGTGTACAGGGAGCAGAGAATGATGGTATGGGACACTGAGCCCAAGAAAGGACATGTTCTCTCTTATAACAGGAGAGAAGAAGAGAAGATATCAGATTCGGGGGTGGAAAGATGAGAGTTCCCATTTAATGACTATTTTCATCTGTTTTCTCAAAGACTGGGAAGTAAAAAGTGGGAGAGGGAACAGGAGGCTGGAGGGTGACAGACCTCAGCTGCCAGGGTGATGATGAAGCAATGACAGCGGGAGGCAGGGAATGGCTGACCCTGTCTAAGATACAGCCCCTCTCTGCAGGACCCCCAGCTGAGCCCCTGGAGCCCACCAGACCCCTCCCCACGCTCCCCGTCCGCAGGATCCACTCACCAAGTGAGAGGAAACATGAGCGCCAGCCCAGGCCACCTCGGCCGCCCCTCGGGGACCGGCCGTCCACACCGGGCGCCAAACCCAACATCTGTGATGGCAACTTCAACACAGTGGCACTCTTCCGAGGCGAGATGTTTGTGTTTAAGGTAGGGCCAGTCAACTGGTGACACCCAGATGGTCCTCTCCCACTTGCTCCCCCTCTGTGGAGCAGGAGAAGGCTGCTGCTCTGGGATTAGGCCCGCTTTGGGCCTGGACAGGAGTTGGCCCAGTGGCCAGGACTTGGGGTCCCTTTCTGGTGCTGCCGGGCGAATTGACTTGTTTCTAAGAGAAGGTGGGTAGACTGGTGATCTTATACCTTCCCAGGGGTTAATGCTGGGGGAAAGTGCTGGAGACCTGCTGGTCAGCGACTTTGAGCAAGTCGTCTCCCTTCTCTGGACCTCAGTTTCTCCATCTGAAGGTGGGGTCATTCCCTTAATGAAGGGTGTATGAAGACTAAATGAGTGCATGGCCATGAACATAGCAGCTTGGAGTAGGGGCTGACATGGCGATGGCAGAGTCTGTCTCCAGATCCTGCCAGGGCTGAGAAGCTGGGACTGAGGGATGCCTGATAGAAAGCTGGCCAGGCTACATCTTGTCACTTGTCCTGGTCCTATCACATTGGCCACTGGCTGACTGGGTGGCAGCACGTTTGGTTGGTATGCTACAGGTTGGGTTACCAGGGAAGTGGACTCTGAGACAGTGTTGAGAATGCAGGATTTTGATTAAAAAGTACCTTTGGGATCAACATCTGTGGGTAGGAGGGAAGGAAGTAAGACTGGGCAGAAGGAGAATATAAGCAGCAACTAGGACCATTGCAGAGTCGCCTACCCCTACAGGGAGTCCTATAGCTAGCATGGCCCATCAGAGTCATCCCACACAGGGCCCCAAATAGCTGGCACTTTGTACCTCCTGCTTCATTCAGTCATTGGATGAGAAGGGGCATGACCTTGGGGGAGCTTGCTGAAGCTGAGGCCATCCCCAGAGAGGCCTGCAGTTGAAAACAGCCTGCTGACCACATTGCGGACCGCCAGGGCAACAAGCCCTCCACGGAAAGGGGTCTGGTCAGGGTGTCTCCATCACACTGGGTGGCTGTTCGGGGCTGCTCCATTCCCCTCAGGGAGCTCTCCCAGCAAGCTTTGAGGACTGAGCAAGAATCAGGTGACACAGGTCAGCACTGATCCTGCCTCTCACAGAGTGGCTCTAGGAAAATCACTGGCCTTATTTAAGATTCTGTATATCTTGGGACGCCTGGGTGGCTCAGTTAGTTAAGCATCCAACTTTGGCTCAGGTCGTGGTCTTGTGGCTCGTGGGTTCGAGCCCGGCATCAGGCTTATAGCACAGAGCCTGGAGCCTGCTTCGGATTCTGTGTATCCCTCTCTCTC